TCTGCTACTAGCGCCAAAATCGATAAACCTGGCTACACATTGGCTCGTTAGCTGTTTATCAAATTGATAGAAACTTTCAGTCTCTCTGTCGAATTTGGCCTAAAAACTATCCAAGTATCCATAATGTTATTATGTTGAAAAGAAATGGAAACTGTTCATTTGACAAAAATATTTAACATATACTGGACTCTTTTATTTTAGTAAAGTTATTTTCGTTTGTGTTTTTTTGGGGTTTACACATATATACCATCACAGTATGGATCTTATGGCAACTTTCCAGCTTCACCTGTGAAGAAGACCTCAGGTACCTCTCCGTGCATTATGTCATACACCAATGGGCACCAAAATAGAACCACTGACGTTCAAAAAGCTAGCACATGAAATAATCCAAATTCTCTGGCGGAAATTAAACCCACAGCTTTGAAGGGAAAGCGGCTTGAAGTCATTAATATTAACCACTCGGACACGGACGTCACTTTAGTTAAGTATTTGTTATTTTATTACAAATATAAGCAAACAGTATTCTGTGGACAATCAGATGATCAATGATAACGTCTTAAACGTTTCTCCGGCATCTTAAGGTTGACATGTATTAACTGAAATCATCTTCACTATTGGGCGGTTTTCTAGTAGTTCTTTCTAGCTGCTTGTAATGGTCGGGTGCTGGATTCAGTTAGATTATGTAGCATTGACGCAAGCATCATGTTTGAATCCCTTAGCTAGATATTATTAAACAGGTTTCAATTCCGTTACAATAGCAAAATTATCTGGAATATAAAAAAACCATCTCAGATGCCGGTTTAGCTTCGGAAAAATATTCTACCAAAATATTTTTATGAACAATTTATTAAAGAAATATTCATGAATCAAATCAAAAGATTTCTTGCAATATTTGTATATCAAATATGTTTTTTTTATAAAAAATAGATTTAATTCCTTCTCAATAAAACATAAATCGACGAGTTTTTCATATGCTGTTATTATAACAAAAAAAGTCATATTAAACGGGATTTTAACAATTTGAATTCAAATAACTATGATGGATTAAAGGCTTTTGTCGCCATTAAACACACTTAAAATAATTAGAAATAAAATATGCGTTTGTATTCATGCAATTACTCTGTAAGAATTTAGAATATATTTAAAGAAACAGTTCGTCTAATACTTATGTCAATCTAAAAGGTATGACAAAACATTTTAATGAATTAGCTTTAAAATATGTCTGTAATGTTTACTTTGGCAAATGTTCAAAATGATATCCTATAGAAAACAAGATAGAGTCTCAAAATATGTTTTTTTTCTAAATCTTGTTTTTAAAATTGCCAGGGTTCATTTGAAGCTCTTGTTTCGAGAGATTAGTAACAAGAACCGGTTGAACCGGGTAGTGCTCCCCGAGTAGGTTTTGGACATAGAACATTATACCTCTTGAAGTGTAAGAGTTATGTCGCTGACAAAGTTCAAAGTAAAAAAAATGCACAAATGGCAATAACTCCAAAATTAAGCAAGGTAGAGTTGAGGTTCTTTTGCACTGCACTTATATTAATGAGATCAATCTACCTACAAACCTCTAATGATGCCAGAGCTATGTCTCGGACGAAATCCAAAGTGAAAAAAAAACAAAAAAAAACAAAAAAAACAAAGGGCAATATTTCCAAAATAAGACAAGGCAGAGTTACGGTTCCTTTGCAATCCACTTCTCTCCAATGAGCTCTATCTACTTACAAAGTTTTATGTTGATATCTCTTATAGTTTTAAAGTTGTGATGTCTCGGACAAATTTCAAAAGGTAAATATGAACAAGGGCAATAATTTTAAGATTAGGCTTGGCAGAGTTATGATTCTTTAGCACAAAGTGTACAAATGAACAAAGAGCAATAACTCCAAAATTAGGCAAAAAACAGAATTATGTTCTTTTTTGCACTGCACTTCTACATAATGATTTCTATCTACCCACAAAGTTTCATTCTGATATCTCTTATAATTTAAGAGTTATGTGCCGGACAAAGTTCAAAGTGTTAAAATAAACAAAGGGCAATAATTCTAAGACAGAGTTACAGTTCTTGTGCACTGCACTTTAACCCAATGATATATATCTATCTACAAAGTTTCATGTTGATATCTCTTTTAGTTTTAGAGTTATGATCCGGACAAAGTTTAATAGACAAACAGCAATAATTCAAAAATTAGGCAAGACAGAGTTATGGTTCTTATGCACTGCACATCTACTCGATGAGATCTATATACCTACAAAGTTTCATGTTGATACCTCTTGTTGTTTCAAAGTTATGTCCCGGGCAAGAACGACAAACAGACGGACGGACAGACTGACGGACGGGCAAAGCGGCGACTATATGCTCATCATTCGGAGAGCATAAAATCAAATTACAGTGACAAATGTTCAAAATGAGGACATTAAAGAAAATATGCACGACTTATCATGTATGCCCTACTTACAACCATTATTATTACTATTTTGGAATATATTAAACATCACGACTGTTAATATATCTACAGTTGAGATATGAACTTACTCACGGAGAAACTGGTAATTCCTTTCTTATTATACAGGAAAGCCGGTTAGTAGGGTCACACTGAGTTGTCATTCTAACAAAATGCGTAATAATCGGCATAAAGAAATTAAAAAAGGATTTTGCATATGACACCGACAAAGATTTGACAAAACAGCATAGAAGTAAATGCTTTAAGCTTATTTAATCCTGTCTGGGTCTAGTGTTTTTCACAAATGTCACAATTGTATTGGCGAATATGAAAGCTGGTGGCATTTTAAGCTTTAACTAGCATTCATTTAAGGGGTTCTATTTTATCTTCCCTTTTATAAGGTATTAAATAAGATTAAGTATCAGACTAAAAAATATGGTTAACTTAAAAGAACAACGATGGAACATCCAGTTGTGAAAACTGAATGATGTTTTATATATATACTTCAATACGAGCGTAGCTCTTGATCGCAAATATTGCGCATTGTATATAAGAAAATACACAGTTTCGCTATAGATACATTGCAACAATCAAATGTGCAGTATGATTTACTAATAATCGAGTTTATCACTTAATATCTATGAATATGAATTATTTATTTGAAAACATCAGATTCAAATTAATCAACACATATTTAACTTTTCATTTCTGACATAAATCAATAATTTAGTGTATTTGTAACTTAGGTAAACAGCTTCTTGAATCTGTAGTTAATGGAGCAATGCTAATATTAAAGTTTATAAACCTCATTAAGCATCACAACAGTTTATTGCGAAGCTTGGTGAGATATTTCTATGTTCAATAAACACGTGGCGATCAATTGATATTTTCCATCCATTGACTTTATCTCCTTATTTAAGTAGTTTTACAATTGAATTCAACTGAAATTTTATTGCATTTTTTTTCGGCACACCATAGGCCTTGCAATACATACAAAACAGATAAATATCATTAAAATTACAAATCATTTCAAACATAATTGAACTTATAATTTGAAATATATTCATTTTCAGTTTTCTCCAGAAATACATTTCCTGTGTGACTGAGAGCTTTTTAGCATTAGAAAAGTATAATTCAAACAAAAGTTACGAACGAATCCTTATGCATCCTATATACTGTATATTCTTTGCTTTACAATTTTCGTGATAAATTTGAATACGCATTTCTTTTGTCATTTTGATAATTTTAATATCTTTATATGTGTATCACTCGGCGTTTGTAGAATCGTATAAACAACAATTATACATGTTGCATGTAACGTACAAACAAAGTTTCACTAATGATTGAAGCCATAGCCAGGATTGTAAAGAGGGATTCATGATTTCATTTTAAATTGTTAAGTATCATGAGATTTCAATGTGTCGTAAGTAGCATATCAAACGGGAATTAAAATTAAATAAAAGGCAAGATCATTAAAAATAAATTTCACAGAACAAGGTTACAGCTTTATCTTCATAAACGTAATTATATTGTTTGCTAGTTGTCATTGCTCCTCAACATTTTAATAGTACAAGAGCGTAATATTATCAAATGAAATAAAACATTTAAAAGGTGTAATAACCCCAATACGGGAGTAATAACGCGTGTGGTCAAGCGAACAAAGGCGCAAAACAAATGATATAATTACGCAAATAAATACCTTTAACGCGATTTAAACTTTTAAAATGAGAAACTAAAGACGTTATATCTCAAAAGAAAAGGCGTAATCTCGCAAAGCAAAAGCCGTTACAATGCAAATCACATCAAATAAAGGTGCAAAACAAAATGCGTTTTTAAGCGGAAATAAAAGCAAAATAAAATAAAACATATTTTAACAGGACTTCATATTTCAGAAACCCTTTATTGATGAAGCGAGGATTTTAGGACATGAACAATGTTTGCATACATAACATGTTCAATCCAAACCTCGGTTTCACGAATTGTTATTAACGCTGTTCAGTATTCCGCAATCTTAGTTTTGCGCTCTACAAATGCATGGGCGTTTTTAAAAAATCTCTAAGTAGCAGCACAATTATTATTTAATTAGTGTCAACACTAGCAATAATTATTAAGAATGATTTTCTTCCTTTACAGGGAACTAGATTACTATTGTGACAAATTACCATCATTAATCATTTTACTTAATTATGAAATTCCAGTAAATTCCAGTGCAAGATTATTATTTTCCTTGAAAATTATTCAAGAAACAGCCTTGAAGGCAAAGTTGGTAATGTTGTATGTATCCTGATAAATGATTAGATGCATTGTAGATTTTCATTAAAACAATTTTGCTAGATTATTTGGAACAAAAATGCCACAGGATTGCATTCATTATAATAATGGTTTTGATCAAGATACATCGCAAGAAACAGATTGTCTGTTGATCATTATAGTCCTTTCTGAAAATATTTGTAATGATCAGAATATTTTTACTACTAAAAGTTTTTAACAAGTACACCATTAGTCAAAACATAGGCAATTTAATTTGCAAGTTAAATGTATGTTATATTAACTTTTATATACTTTCTTTGGCAGGACATGCACTTAAATTGGATGAAAAAGGGAGGATAAGCATGACCCCTGTACATAGATGACACGCACATTCGTGAGACGTTCGTTCCATATTATATTCAGTGGTTGTTCGAAGCTATATAAAACATGGTTCATGCTGATTATATGTCTCACGTATGTTATCTTACAGCAATGTTTTTCCTACGCTGCAGAAAGAGAAAGAAAAAAAACCATAAAACATTGTATATAAAAAAGTAAAATCCTGGTATAAGATGATCTGTATTGAGTATGTTGTTTTTCGTCTGAAGAATATTATTAGATCAACATCATTAACAAAATTGCTGATGATGTAATGAAACAAGACAACATGCTTATTGTCAATGTTTTGTTATTTGATTATCCGATCATAATTGGGATTCTACGAGACTTATTATATACTAATTACATCTGCCTGGCCACAATGAAGCAATTGCGTAACGGCCAAATAGTTCAACGGATTGCCGCCGATATTATTGCTTCAGATCAGTATGTCTTTTAATTTATTGGAAATTCGTACTATTATTATGTCTTGGAAATTCTACTTTGTTTAGAAGATGAAAGGAAACGAACATTGCCATATCCTGAAACCATATTTATTTTACCTCATCAACGTAAACAATCACACTAAAAGAACTATATATTTATTTATCAGTTATGTAAAGACGGTATACATTAAAGAATCTATCGTCTACTTAAAAAGCGTCTCCGTCTCTTTTGAACAACAAGACAATAATAATACTTGTTTGTTATAAGAAAAAAGTCTTGGCTTGGACACAACTCCGGATAAGTAGGAAAATTTTCCGGATACATGGTACAACAAAACAGATAAGAAGGATACTAAATTCGAAGAGTACAAGAATAATTTTAGTATTTGCCCTACTTTTGTACGCCCGTTTGAAAAACGGATGGAATTATAGTTTCGTCCTTGGCAGGCGTCATGCAATTTTGTCTGGAGTAATTTTGTCTGGAGTATATCTGCTACACGCATAAAAGAATTTTAATGAAACATCACAGAAAATGTTCATCACTATGAGAAACTGTGTCGGGAGAATGAACCACGTATCTAGGTCAAAGGTCTAGGTCAAACTTTGGCGTACAAATCGGGATTTTAATATAACTTGGCATTAATGTTTACCATTGTGATGCTGAGTATTGAGTATTGCGCGCATAATCCAGACCCCATGCTTTCAAAGTCAATGCCACATAGAGATAAATAGAAGGTGTGTACAGGGACCATTTAGTCATTATTTATTGATGGATTGTAACAAAGATAATAATTATCATGACAACAAGTTTGACACATGTAAAATTTTGGTTAATATTTGCAAGGTAAAGGCCACTAAAGATTTTATAATATCCAGAGACTGTCCGGATATTGTCCATAGCATTTATCCTATATGTATTTCTATAAAGCCGACATCTCTGTCAAAAGCTTTTGTGACGGGCGTATTTTGCAACAATGTTGTCTTTGTTCTTCAACGCGAATATTTGACAACTGACTTAAATAGCGTATATCAAAGGTGCATTTAAGCGCGTCTCTCAACCGCCTCCGTGGTCGAGGGGTTAGAGTCAAAGACTTCTAATCCAGTCACCTTTTTGGCGTGGATTCGATCCCCGGGAGATGCTTTTGTAGTTTAGCGCGGAGGAAGGTAGTCTAGTACTGGTGTAACTCTTCAGGAACGATGGTTAGGAAACTACCCGCCTATATTACTGAAATTCTGTTGGGGAAAGGCGTAAAATGAAACAACCCTGCTAATAATTTTTTATTTTCCACTGGTTTCATGTTAAAAATGACAAAATGATGTTTATGAGAAACTTTAAACGTTTTAAACGAGATAGGGCACAAAATGGGCGCAATTTAATGAAACGCTTCTAATATGTTACAAGTATAACTCTAAGTAACATGTACGTAACATCGATGTAACACATATAAAGGCTGTAACCCTTAAGGTAACTTATATGTGTTTTGAAATCAATCGTAAAAAGTAAGTAGAAATGTTCATTACAATCCCAGTTGGCGTAACAATTGTAACAATGCTGTAACAACTATGTAACAACCTTGTAGCATCTAAGTAACCTAACATCAATGTAACCTTATTAATTCCGATTTCTGACCTTTTTTAAGGCTTGTGCTGTAACACTTGTAACAACCTGTAACATTTGTAACAATAATGTGTGAATTTTTCATTTCATTCTCAACCCTCTTAACATTTGTAACAATGCCGTAACAATGCTGTAACAACCTTGTAACATCTATGTAACCTTATTAATTCCGTTTTCTGATCATTTTTAAGGCTTGTGCTGTAACACTTGTAACAAGCTGTAACATTTGTAACAATTATCTGTGAAATTTTCATTTCACTCCAAAGTCTCGTAACACTTGTAACAATACTGTAACAACTATGTAACAACCTTGTAACATCTATGTAACTTTATTAAATCCGATTTCTGACCATTTTCAAGGCTTGTGCTGTAACACTTGTAACAACCTGTAACATTTGTAACAATTATCTGTGAAATTTTCATTTCACTCCAAACTCTCGTAACACTTGTAACTATGGTGTAACAACTATGTAACAACCTTGTAACATCTATGTAACCCTATTAATTCCGATTTCTGACCATTTTAAAGGCTTGTGCTGTAACACTTGTAACAACTTGTAACATTTGTAACAATAATGTGTGAAATTTTCATTTCATTACCAACCTTCGTAACATTTGTAACAATGCTGTAACAACTATGTAACAACCTTGTAACATCTATGTAACCTTATTAATTCCGATTTCTGACCATTTTCAAGGCTTGTGCTGTAACACTTGTAACAACCTGTAACATTTGTAACAATAATGTGTGAAATATTCATTTCATTCTCAACCTTCGTAACCTTTGTAACAATACTGTAACAACTATGTAACATCCTTGTAACATATATGTAACCCTATCAATTCCGATTTCTGACCATTTTTAAGGCTTGTGCTGTAACACTTGTAACAACCTGTAACATTTGTAACAATAATGTGTGAATTTTCATTTCATTCTCAACCTTCGTAACATTTGTAACAATACTGTAACAACTATGTAACAATCCTTGTAACATATATGTCACCCTATCAATTCCGATTTCTGACCATTTTAAGGCTTGTGCTGTAACACTTGTAACAACCTGTAACATTTGTAACAATAATGTGTGAATTTTTCATTTCATTCTCAACCCTCTCGTAACATTTGTAACAATGCCGTAACAATGCTGTAACAACCTTGTAACATCTTTGTAACCTTATTAATTCCATTTTCTGATCATTTTTTAAGGCTTGTGCTGTAACACTTGTAACAAGCTGTAACATTTGAAACAATTATCTGTGAAATTTTCATTTCACACCAGAGTCTCGTAACACTTGTAACTATGCTGTAACAACTATGTAACAACCTTGTAACATCTATGTAACCCTATTAATTCCGATTTCTGACCATTTTAAAGGCTTGTGCTGTAACACTTGTAACAACCTGTAACATTTGTAACAATAATGTGTGAAATTTTTCATTTCATTCTCAACCTTCGTAACATTTGTAACAATGCTGTAACAACTATGTAACAACCTTGTAACATCTATGTAACCTTATTAATTCCGATTTCTGACCATTTTCAAGGCTTGTGCTGTAACACTTGTAACAACCTGTAACATTTGTAACAATAATGTGTGAAATATTCATTTCATTTTCAACCTTCGTAACCTTTGTAACAATGCTGTAACAACTATGTAACATCCTTGTAACATCTATGTAACCCTATCAATTCCTATTTCTGACCATTTTTAAGGCTTGTGCTGTAACACTTGTAACAACCTGTAACATTTGTAACAATAATGTGTGAATTTTTCATTTCATTCTCAACCCTCTTAACATTTGTAACAATGCCGTAACAATGCTGTAACAACCTTGTAACATCTATGTAACCTTATTAATTCCTTTTTCTGATCATTTTTTAAGGCTTGTGCTGTAACACTTGTAACAAGCTGTAACATTTGTAACAGTTATCTGTGAAATTTTCATTTCATTCCAAAGTCTCGTAACACTTGTAACAATACTGTAACAACTAAGTAACAACCTTGTAACATCTATGTAACCTTATTAATTCCGATTTCTGACCATTTTCAAGGCTTGTGCTGTAACACTTGTAACAACCTGTAACATTTGTAACAATTATCTGTGAAATTTTCATTTCACTCCAAACTCTCGTAACACTTGTAACTATGCTGTAACAACTATGTAACAACCTTGTAACATCTATGTAACCCTATTAATTCCGATTTCTGACCATTTTCAAGGCTTGTGCTGTAACACTTGTAACAACCTGTAACATTTGTAACAATAATGTGTGAAATTTTCATTCCATTCTCAACGTTCGTAACCTTTGTAATAATACTGTAACAACTATGTAACAACCTTGTAACATCTATGTAATCTTATTAATTCCGTTTTCTGACAATTTTTAAGGCTTGTGCTGTAACACTTGTAACAACCTGTAACATTTGTAACAATAATGTGTGAAATTTTCATTTCATTCTCAACCTTCGTAACATTTGTAACAATGCTGTAACAACTAAGTAACAACCTTGTAACATCTATGTAACCTTATTAATTCCGATTTCTGACCATTTTCAAGGCTTGTGCTGTAACACTTGTAACAACCTGTAACATTTGTAACAATAATGTGTGAAATTTTCATTTTATTCTCAACCTTCGTAACATTTGTAACAATACTGTAACAACTATGTAACAACCTTGTAACATCTATGTAACCTTATAAATTCCGTTTTCTGACCATTTTGAAGGCTTGTGCTGTAACACTTGTAACAACCTGTAACATTTGTAACAATTACCTGTGAATTTTTCATTTCACTCCAAAGTCTCGTAACACTTGTAACAATGCTGTAACAACCTTGTAACATCTATGTAACCCTATTAATTCCGTTTTTTGACCATTTTTAAGGCTTGTGCTGTAACACTTGTAACAACCTGTAACATTTGTAACAATTATCTGTGAATTTTTCATTTCACTCCAAACTCTCGTAAC